TCTTGTGTCCTTTTTCTTTCTCTCATCCATGGTCTTCAGACACATCTGTCAGTCCCTGGCAAGAGGGGCAAAGGACTGATGCTGTTATCTGCTTTTGTGACAAGTTTCCAAGTGAAATTTGGCATTTGTCATCAGTTGTGTTTTGTTGCAGCTGGAGCTGAATGACAGCAGCAGCAACTGTGAACCATTAAACTTTGCTCCTCTTAAAATCCTGTAATGACACTGCTTGTAAGGGGGGGGGGAAGTGGATTGTTTATTACTTCATATTTGAGAAAGTTTATTTTTGCTGGTTAAATTGAAAGCATTAAAAAATGTTTAGTCATTAAAACACCAGAACGAGCATTAATTGGATGCAGAGTCCTGTACTCTCTTCTCCCAGGTAAGCTGTGAATGGAATCTTGCTATGGTCTGTTTTTCTTGCTTTCTCAATGGTGTCATTCTGGTCTGCTTCACATAACTGCTCCACCTCTGGGAGATACAATTCCAGAGTGATTTAAGTTATTTTTTAGGAGGATTTTGTAGCACAAGAGTGAGCTGAGCAACTCCATAATGTAGGACTCTGTAAGTATTGCTTTAGTGACATGTCCTTAACACTGCCCTTGTCTTGCTCTTCAGTCAAAGAAGTCCAGCTGCCATTGTAAATCAGGGGTGAAGCTGAAGACCACCTAAAATGGCATGTGCTTTTGGTTTTGAGGGGCTTTCCCACAAATTGGGGTTTTTTGCCTATCCATGCATATAAGACTTGATTCTCTCTGATGTGTAGTGGTCAAACCGATGTCCTACAGGCCTGGGGGTCACTGAGGTGGTCCAAAGCAGAAAAGTTGCAGTAGTCCTTTGTTCTGCTGCTCACTTCACAGTAGCACTGCCTTTGTCTTCCTGCAAGATCAGCTGCAACTGTCAAGAGTATGTTACTTCTAATTTTAGTGCTTTGAATTTAAATTTGCTCTTGGTGTCTGCTATTTAAGGCCTTCAAAGGGAGCCTAGCCATATGTTCTCCCACACAAAGTAGTATGATCTCATGGTTCTTTTTCAGCTTTGGTTTCTGTGAGACTTTTCCTTCCCTTTACATGGTAAGCAATGCTGATTTCTTCACAAGAAATGTGAAAGCAGAGAAGTATAGCCCTGTTGCAGCGGTCTAGAGAACCTTGTGGTGCTTCAAGTTGTGGCTTTGCTGTTTGCAAACTGCAGAAGAACAGTTCTCTGGTTTGCAAACCTCTTAAGGGTGCACCTTATCATAGAATCTTAGACTCTTAAGGGAGTAGAATGGACCATAAAGATCATTACTCCCACCCTCCACCCCACCATGAGCAGGGACATCTCCCACTAGAGCAGGCTGCTCAAGGCTTTATCCAGCCTGGCTTGGAGCACTGCCAGGGATGGAGCAGCCACAGCTTCTCTGGACAACCTGTGCCAGTGCCTCACCACCCTCACATGGAAGAAATTTTTCCTAAGATATAATCTAAACTGCATTTCAGGTCAGTTAAGTTTTGCCTTTAAATGGTTTGCATCTTTTGTCTGCACCTTCTTCAACAGCCTCTCTGCTTTTAAAGAGCGAAGAACGAAAGGAGCAATAGAGGACTTGGAACTTCTCTCTGCTTTCAGCTTGGCTTGCAAGCTCTGTGCTGAAGCTCTGCAACACACCTTCATTTGTAGTTTTGGATTTTGTGTGGTTAGCCTGACTGGTTTGTTCTCTTCAGTTGTCTCTAAGAGAAGGTTTTGATATTAAAGGTAGCTGTTTCTGTGTCCTAGCTGATGGGAGCTCAAATCAGTTGCCTGCTTATGGATATCTGTTGCCATGCGGAAAGTCTTGTCGTACCTTCCCTGATGGCTGGCTGTGACACCAGGAGGTGTGGGTCTCCTGTAGTGCTGCATCACCAAGGGCATCTAAAGTACTTACAGGTGAGCATCTGAACTGGGCCCTGTATAGCTGCTGTACATTGAGCAACATGGATATCTGCTCCTCACCGTTTGTACTGATGCTCCAGATGTTTAGAGCCTGGGGTCCTACATTTTCTCCTACTTGGGAGACTGGTATGGAAGAGCTGTGGCTTTCCTTGGTGGAGGATGTCATTATGCTGCTGACAGGCTGGTTTGAGAAGACACGTAGCAAGGTTGTCCATGAGACAAGGTGCAGAACATCAGGATATACAGGAGGCAGGTTTAGTGAAAGGATCATGGAGATGTTCCTATCCCAACACTGCAGGATCCTGTAGCATAAGCACTGACGATTCTGCAGGCTGAAGTTTGTAAGTCAAATTCTTTATTGACTCATCAACTAATGACCCCATCAGTATAAAACAGCATTTATGTTTGTATTTTTAATTCGATGTGCTTTTGTCCTGGTTTCTGTTACTGTAACAATTAAGGGGACAAAATCCTGAGGGAGAACAACATGGTACAGTGCTTTGTGGATGTGAGGATTGCTAGCAGAACAGCTTGATCAGTAGTGATACATATTCCAGTATTAAATTATCCTGGTGAATGCATTGCCATTCCATTACTTCCTTCTGCCCAGTGTTTCAGAGGTGGTTTGGTGTGTTGAGGCGGAAGATGCTGATGCAGTCATGTTGCTAAAAAAAGCTCCTTTGTCATGGTCCATACAGATGAATTGCATGGCAAAGCATGTGCCCATAGCAGGGGAAGATCTAGGACCTGCTAATGATATTGATAAAGGGGGGAGGAAATGGAGCTTGGCAGTGTCTCCTCAGAGAAAGTTTTCTTTTTTTTTTTTTCCAAACATATTCATTCTCCACACTCTGTGCAAACTCT